CATCCCCGCGTCTCTCCATTTCTCTCCCTCTCTCCATCCCCGCGTCTCTCCATTTCTCTCCCTCTCTCCATCCCCGCGTCTCTCCATTTCTCTCCCTCTCTCCCGTCCCCGCGTTTCTCCATTTCTCTGTGTCCATTCTCCATCAGCGTTACAACATCCCGCGTTTGTCTATTTCTCTCCCACTCTCCATCAGCACTTCAACCTCCCCGCATCTCTCATTGGACTCCGAGATCACCTTCAAAAGATCAGTGTGTTCGATATAAGCATTATTTGAATATCAACACTATGGAATCGATGTTTTCTTCAGACCTTCATATATTAGAATTTACAAACAACGTGTAATAAAACACTAATTACTAGCCTGGTAGGGAAATAGTGTGTATCGTTCCCGATCACGTATACGTACAAACCAAAGGAACAGTTGTCCACGACCTTGGGCTTCGGACAATTTTATGATGGCCTTAACATCCCCGGGATACTATTTCAGACTTAGTGGTCTCCACCAGGGAAATATGTAAATCGGAAGAAGTCCGGATACTATTTCGGAAACAATAATCTCAGGAACAGCAAGTTTTATATTTATTCCATTTGTGAAAAGAAGTAAACAAACTTAAGTCGATTCCTCAGGGGCGTGATTGACGTATACTCTTGTATTTACAAGTAAACAATGCTATTAAAATACTTGAAGTTAAAAGTTAACATTTCCGTCAAATCATGACCATATATCTCTCTCCTGAAGTTCAGTAAGGGTTGTTTACCCATTTAGATTTATGTACTGCTACACTTACGCCTTTAACACTTGACTGTCGCATCGGCAACCTCGGGAGACTCGCTACGTACCATCAAAGTGTGCGAGGAACGAGCCACCCGAGGAGTTCCGAGTGTGGACACACCACACCAGAAGTCACGTGACGACGAAGTTAAGGATCCATGTCCCCGTGCAGACAAAACACTAGGGAATTCCATAGTAACGTCCCCTTAATTTTGCCATGGATATAACTGTAGCGCCGTAGCAGATTTTAGGCCAAAAGGCACTTCTCTAGACTTGGTTACTCACGTATTTACAAGGAAAGTTAAACAATCTGAGGTCCTGGGTTCGAATACCGCTCTTTGTCACTGATTTTTTCCGCTCAGAACATTAAAGTTGATTATTTTTTGCTAATTTCATCATATTTTATTTTGTCGTAAAATTCTTGCCAAGGTTTATTTTTCTTTTACAACATGATAAACAAAATATAAAGTCATGCCGGAATAAACAGTTTTCAATGTCTATTTACATGTATTGACAGAGGTACAAGGTTCTGTCAGAGGGATCAGATTAAACCCTTGATACGGATGTATTTGTTAAAATGTAGACGAAGCCATAAAAGTCTGCATTGATATCAAAAGATGGAACTACTAACATAACGTTAGTTAAAATGAAAAAAATTGGACTTTGTATCTTAATGTCATTATATATTTATTACCATAACATGTACGTGTGTGTACGGATGTCTCACAGTATCCCATATAAAACACAGCAGAGGTGACCGTTATAGGATGTGTTAGTATAACATCTGTACCACATTTGATTTTCATTAAAATATTTTGAAATCAACTGTAACTTGATTTTGCTAAAGATCCAAACCAATGCGTGTCCTGAGACTGTGTTACCACAACTTAACAAAGCAGTTTTTTTTTATTTCTATGAAATACATTTTCAATAAATAGACCAAGATTTTCAAACACTATGCCCGAGATTAAACCATCATGCGCAGTTTGATAGATCATTAAATCATTTAAAATGCGCCATGGTGTATTCTATGGAAATTCGGAATCCATTTAAAAGTTGGTTTTATGATAAGTAACTTCTTTTTCGAGAACTTGATTATAGTTTTGCCAATCAATCAAGTTAAATTGAAAATATTTAGCATTTTGTTGCACCCCCCCCCCCTGCCCCTGGTCCCTGGTCCCTCCCCAACCCTTCCAGACACTTGTTACGTGCGTTGCTCGTGATATCCACAGGGTGTGTAATATATCTGTAATTTGATGTGTACAGTAAGTTGCATTTCTTCACTAATTCAATTTACATATGATGTATCGTTGCTGTGATATAGCCGCAGACACGTGACTGATTACTTTTATCATTGTTTCGGTATCGTTGCTGTGATTTTGAAATGTCATGTTGTTAATATTCTGTTTATTATGAAAATTAAAACTGTTACCTTTAATTAAACAGAGTTGAGGTTTTTAAATCGTTGTGTGTTTGTCTACTTTCAGTTTGCACGGTTGTGGGTTTTCTTCAATTCTACTCTACAACGTTGTCCATTTCTAACCTGCTCGTACTGACCATTGACCGGTGGATCTCAGTGACCAAGCCATTGAAGTACACCCGCTTGATGACCAACAAGACGTCATATATGTGTATCGCGTTTATATGGATAGCAGTGTTCCTCATCGACATTCCCATGGTATTTCCGGCAGTGGGCCAGTTCCGGGACATGCGCAATGTGTATATATGTAGTCCGCAATGGCGGACAAACATGGCTTACACTTTTGTGTTGGTTGCGGTGTATTTACTGCCCTCGTTCACAATGGTCTTTGTTCTCAATCTGCGACTCTTCTGTCTCTCTCGCAAACACCGCCGCAAAATGAATATCATCGAAAGACAAACGCAGTCAGGCAATCAAGTTTCATCGATGAAATCTAAAATTGTCATATTTACAATAGTATTGACGTTCGAGATCTCGTGGATACCCTACTTTATAGTGGAGATCATTCGTCTGTTTGATTTAACGGTCGTAAACGATTACATCTTGTTCGCGGTCTCGTGGATCGCAGTGAGTAACAGTTTCATGAACTCAGTGATATACACGTGTTTGAACCGGAAATTCCGGGAAGGGATCAGGATTTTGTTCAAGTGTCAGAAACAACCGGATTACATCATGAACATGGAGAGTTTGTTATGACAGAGGTCTATACGGGAGAATGACAACGGCAACTCGTTGGTTTTCCGACCCGAAACTTATATCTGATGTGTCAGCTACAATGCAGTTATATGTGAGGACTCGTAAGACCACTCTTGGGCGCGAGGTCACCGGTTCGAATTTCGGCCTGATGCGTTCCATATCAATAACGGGCACCTTATGTAAATACCGGATGTGACGTCACACACCAGGGATGCTCTTCTGATAAAGTCTCGTGATGTATTCATGAAATTAACATATGCATTACTTTGACATGACGTCAAAACAATCAAGGGGTAGGATCTCAAGGATGAACAATGTTCAAACTTGTGTTGATGTGATATTTCTTTACGCTATGAAAGTCCGTTTCAAAACATTTTTGGTACAAAACTTGTAAAAAAACCTAAACAATGCATTAATTATATTTCATTTGATACCAATGTTCAGACCATCAAGATTAACCGAAACAGATAATTCGCACGAGCAAGGTTCCAGACAATAAAGTAGGCTCCACAAACTCCATATTCACACTAACGAAGTGTCCGGACTAACAAGGTTCTACTGTACTCACAAACCAAAGTGTCCAGACTAACAAGATTCCACTGTACACACAAACCAAACTGTCCAGACTAACAAGATTCCACTGTACACACAAACCAAAGTGTCCAAACTAACAATGTTCTACTGTACACTCAAACCAGACTAACAAGGTTCTACTGTACACACAAACCAAAGTGTCCAGACTAACAAGATTCCACTGTACACACAAACCAAAGTGTCCAGACTAACGAAGTTCTACTGTACACTCAAACCAGACTAACAAGGTTCTACTGAACACACAAACCAAAGTGTCCAGACTAACAAGGTTACACTATACACACAAACCAAAGTGTCCAGACTAACAAGGTTCCACTGTACACACAAACCAAAGTGTCCAGACTAACAAGGTTACACTATACACACAAACCAAAGTGTCCAGACTAACAAGGTCCTACGTATACTGTACACACAAACCAAAGTGTCCAGTCTAACGAGGCTATACTGTACACACAATCAAAAGTGTCCGGTCCGGACTAACAAGGTTCTACTGTACATACAAACCAAAGTGTCCCGTCTAACAAGGCTATACTGTACACACAAACAAAAGTGTCCGGTCCGGACTAACAAGGTTCTACTGTACATACAAACAAAAGTGTCCGGACTAACAAGGTTCTACTGTACATAAAAACCAAAGTGTCCAGACTAACAAGGTTCTACTGTACACACAAATCAAAGTGTCCAGACTAACAAGGTTCTATTGTACACACAAACCAAAGTGTCTAGACTAACAAGGTTATATTGCCCACACAAACCAAAGTGTCCAGACTAACAAGGTTCCACTGTACACACAAACCAAAGTGTCCAGACTAACAAGGCTATACTGTACACACAAACGAAAGTGTCCGGACTAACAAGGTTCTACTGTACATACAAACCAAAGTGTCCATACTGACAAGGTTCTACTGTACATACAAACCAAAGTGTCCAGACTAACAAGGTTATATTGCACACACAAACCAAAGTGTCCAGACTAACAAGGTTAAACTGTACACACAAACCAAAGTGTCCAGACTGACAAGGTTCTACTGTACACACAAACCAAAGTGTCCGGACTAACAAGGTTCTACTGTACAGACAAACAAAAGTGTCCAGACTAACAAGGTTATACTGTACACACAAACCAAAGTGTCCAGCCTAACATGGTTCTACTGTACACACAAACCAAAGTGTCCAGACTAACATGGTTCTACTGTACACACAAACAAAAGTGTCCAGACTAACAAGGTTCTTCTGTACACACGAACCAAAGACACCGCACTAACAAGGTTATATTGCACACACAAATCAAAGTGTCCAGTCTAGCAAGGCTATACTGTACACACAAACCAAAGTGTCCAGACTAACAAGGTTCTACTGTACAAACAAACCAAAGCCACCGGACTAACAATGTTCTACTGTACATATAAACCAAAGTGTCCAGACTAACACGATTATACTGTACACACAAACCAAAGTGTCCGGACTAACAAGGTTCCACTGTAAACACAAACCAAAGTGTCCAGACTAACAAGGTTCTACTGTGCACACAAATCAAAGTGTCCGGACTAACAAGGTTCCACTGTAAACACAAACCAAAGTCACCGGACTAACAAGGTTATCCTGTACATACAAACAAAAGTGTCCAGACTAACAAGGTTCTTCTGTACACACAAACCAAAGTGTCCAGACTAACAAGGTTCTACTGTGCACACACATCAAAGTGTCCAGACTAACACGGTTCTAATGTACACACACATCAAAGTGTCCAGACTAACAAGGTTCTACTGTACACAAACACCAAAGTCACCGGACTAACAAGGTTCTACGGTACACACAAACCAAAGTATCCAGACTAACATGGTTCTACTATTGTACACACAAACCAAAGTGTCCAGACTAACAAGGTTCTACTGTACACACACATCAAAGTGTCCAGACTAACACGGTTCTAATGTATACACACACTAAAGTCACCGGACTAACAAGGTAATACTGTACACACGAAAAAAAGTGTCCAGACTAACAAGGTTCTACTGTACACATAAATCAAAGTGTCCTGACAAATAAGGTTCTACTGTACACAAACACCAAAGTCACCGGACTAACAAGGTTCTACTGTACACACAAACCAAAGTGTCCAGCCTAACATGGTTCTACTGTACACACAAACCAAAGTGTCCAGACTAACAAGGTTCTACTGTACACACACATCAAAGTGTCCAGACTAACACGGTTCTACTGTATACACACACTAAAGTCACCGGACTAACAAGGTAATACTGTACACACAAACCAAAGTGTCCAAACTAACAATGTTTTACTGTACACACACACGAAAGTGTCCAGACTAACAAGGTTCCATTGTAAACACAAACCAAAGTGATTAGAATAACAACACACAAACCAAAGTTTCTGGACTTACAGGATTACACAATACACTCAAAGTATCCCGTACAAAGTTCCATCTTACAGCGTTCCACTGTGCACATATAACCAACGTGTCCAGTTTAAGAAAAGTCCACCTACTGTAGAACATGTAACTAATGTATCCAAACTAATAAGATTTTCTGGAAAAACCTGAAGAGTGTGCAGACAAGCAAGGTTTCAAATAGCGTCCTTTTATAACGGTACATTGTTGTATGTCCTAAGAATTGATGGTGAAGTTTTAAAACGTTTGATTTTTAAGATCGTCTTATATTGGATTGTTTACTATAGAGGCGTATTCGTGTACAGGAAAACCTGATGTCTTGTTTACCTTCACAAGTAGAAACACGGGTACGATTCATTCTATTTCAGCAGACCTCATTAATCTCACAAGCTAGTTAAGGAGGCATCAACAGTTCGACACATCTCGGCTTTTTCCGGTTACTTATTCTTACGGACTCTGCCGAGTCAGGTATGACGAGTGACTCAAACACAGACATTCATATTTTTGATTTTTTTATTGATATTTTTAAGTTGAATCAAATTTTTAATTTGACCTTACTCATATGTTGGATGTTGTAATAGAAGTACGTGTACTTCGACGCTGCGGCCTCATGTTCGTTTGTCAGAGATCGTTTGTTATTTCGTATGTTTTTTATTTCCTTCTTTGTTTTTATTTTATATTAAAACTTGTTATTTTAAATACTGTGGTTTTGTGTCTTTGGTTTCGAGACAACTACACAAAAGCAATTTATTTAAGAGTATACGACAGTTAATCAATGTTAGTGCTCGTCTGTCAGGTTTCCATTTATAAATCTATTCATAATACCCATCTACAAACAACATCGTATCTGATTGGATGATATTAATCACATGACGGGGAAATAAAACGTCGTGTTTTGCCTTATTTGCTCGATTTTCCCTGCTAATACTTTTCTTTATTCGGGCCTCTATGGAAAAATAATCAAGAAGTGTCACAACTGAGGTCTGAGTTAGTAAAACAGAGGACAGCAATGCATCGTGGCCTAATAACCTTTATTGGTAGAGTTTATTAAAAAAAATGTATTGCCCTTATATTAGGGAAACATGACTTTTTGTTTCCTATCAATTAATTACGGTTCATTTAGAGAAATAAAGATATTTTTTTGAAGCAGCAAATACAATTAATGTATAATTATCGTCGTAAACAGATTTTAATTTGAAATGTTGCCAACATACGGTCACACCTGCTGGGACACCTGTGTTACAATGTCACTTATGAAAAGGAACCTTCTGTGTTAAGGGGCGACATGTGGTAACAGATCACCTGTGTTAACAGATCACCTGTGTTTACAGACAACCTGTGTTAAATGGAGATATGTGTTAAGGGGCGACATGTGGAAAGCAGTGACGTGTACTAAGGGACAACTTGTTGTAACAGATCACCTTTTTTAAAGGACCCTCTGCGTAAACAGTTCACCTGTGTTTACAGACAACCTGTGTTAACAGATCACCTGTGTTAACAGATCACCTGTACTAAAGGACCATCTGCGTTAACAGATCACCTGTGTTTACAGACAACCTGTGTTAACAGATCACCTGTGTTAAAGGACCATCTGCGTTAAAAGATCACCTGTGTTTGCTGACAACCTGTATTAACAGATCACCTGTATTAAAGGACCATCTGCGTTAACAGATCATCTGTGTTTACAGACAACATGTGTTAAAGGACCACATTTGTTTTGGGTTTATCCTGCGTTAACGGACCACTTGTGTTAATAGACCACCTGTGTTAAAGGACCACCTATGTTAACAGACAACTTGTGTTAACAGACCGCCTACAATAAGAGAGTTGTCTCAGATTACACGTTTGTCTATGTAAGTGATTAGATATTACTAGAATGGAACGCGGGACAGTTTGTGCTTATGTCTATCAAAACATTATCATCAATTAAACAAGCGATGAAAAGCACCACAGCTAGATATACAAAAAATATAATTCAGTATCTTAAATTATGTCAACAACCAAGATTAAAATACACCAGTGTCACTCATTAAGGACTAGGCGAATCCTCCCCTATCTTGAGTGTGTGACAAAACAATCTCCAACCCAACGGAAGTTGCACAACAAAATAATCGCCTTGAGGAAAATATTCATTGAAGGGGATAATCCTATGACTCTTTTCCGGCGAAAACCGAAATCACACCTACCAGCTTTAGGTCTGTAAAGGCAAGGATAAAAATATAGTACATATACTATAGCATCATAAGACAAGGACAAACAAACTACAGCGTCAACAAACAACGACAAACAGACCACAGCGTCAACAAACAACGACAAACAGACCACAGCGTCAACAAACAACGACAAACAAACCACAGCGTTAACACACAATGACAAACAAACCACATCGTCAACACACAATGACAAACAAACCACAGCGTCAACAAACAACGACAAACAAACCAAAGCGTCAACAAACAACGACAAACAAACCACAGCGTCAACAAACATCGACAAACAAACCACAGCGACAACAAACAACGACAAACAAACCACAGCGTCAACCAACAACGACAAACATACCACAGCGTCGACAAACAACGACAAACAAACCACAGCGTCAAC